TGTTAGAAAATACCTGTATCCAAGAGACATTTTCTGAGGTAGCCAAACTGAATATAAAAAACAAAACTACAACAGACTCAGTCTCTACACGCTTTTCCTAACCCTAAACACATGTGATACAACCAGTTGCAAACCTGAACTGCATGACGTATAAGTGTGATATTTATACTACGGGCTTTGGGGTAATGTGCATTTTTCAATCTACATAACTATTTTCGGGGGTGCTTATTATTAATATGGCAGAACAATAAGTAGTAACTTGTAGCGTCCAAACGCCGTTACTGTGTAATTAAGCACAAAGCTACACAATGGGCTATCTGGGCTCTAGCCACCACGGGTATCGAAACCCGGATCTTAGTGTTGTAAGTCCGCAGACATACCACTGTGCCACTTGGAGCAAAGATCTTACTCCGAAGGCAATTTCAGATATTTACTTAAGACTATTGTCGACGAACGTAAGTTCATTATTTTATTAATATAAAATTCTTGCAGTCCATAAGTACTCGAAAGATATGTTTTTGAGGTACTTTGTTGGTTTTCTAAATAATCATATTAAAATCCAAACGCTGGAGTTGATAATCAGTTTCCAAACTAGCGTAGCTAAACCTCAAAACACTTTTTTGTTGGTATCATAGAGTTTTGTTCTTTGGAACGTAAAGATTATTCAAAGAGACACCATTTTCTCTAAGTACACATTATTATGCTCTTGAAAAATGCTAAGCCATGTTTCTGGGGTATAACCCTAATTTCCGGACTTTGAATCAAAGGATTCATGGTCCGCAACCTGTTGCAACAAAAACGCGCTCCGCTATTCGGTTCCGTGGGTGCGCTATAAGACCGACTAGCAAATTTCACTATTCAATCAGATAAGAGTAACCTAATAGTTGGCAGTGAGTGCTTTTTAATAGCTGCCTTCCCTCTAGTCCATCAGTTCAAATGTAGGGACGACTATGTACATAAATCAGAATAATAAAAAAATTATGGTAATTCATATACCAGTTTTGTAATACTTTTCTTACTTAACTTTGATTTACTAAATAAGCCTATATACTCTCTTTCGAAATCGGTTAAGATAGTGTTTAGGTACTGATTTTGTTTCGCGCTACATGCTGAACCTAATTGTCACGGATTGTCTTTTTTTTTGCAGCATTATCAAGAAAACAATTCGCTTTTGCCAAATGAACGAGAATTTCTCGAATTATACGTGAATTTCATATATATTATCATTTTGTTTGAATATTTTGACTCTGTTAAAGTATTATTTATTAAGAAAACAAATGGATATAATCTTTTATTGAAACGTGTACAAAAATGTCGTCGACATTTATTTACCATGATGCCACAGTTTTGCGCTTTCTGACTGTTTTTAACATATGGTTCATTTTGGATATTCGCGCAAAGCTACACAAATAATATCTGCGCTAGCTGACCTTAATGTTTAGCTCGTACACCAGAAGGAAGGCAGCTAGCCAACAATACCAACCGCCAAAACTCTTGGGCTACTCTTAATCAAATAGTGCATCCACGGCTCCAAAGTGCGGAGCACGGTTTGCGGCAACGGTCCCTGAACCTTGAACTCTCGGATTCACAGTAAGACACAATAATCCAAGATCTTAACAATTTCTTTTAATGCGGCATGAAAATTATTTTATTGAATCATAAACTTTCTTAGTTTTCGGAAAGCTTACATAAACAACAACATGCAAATGTGAAACTAACAATTTTCTCTAAGAAGTTTTAAAATCAACTTACACAACAATAAGTGGAATGCTTTTTGACCATTAGTAGTACAAACAAAAGATTGGATATCTATTGTGATGAGAGAAAAATTCATTCTGTATTAAGTTCATTATCCTTTTGAATTTTTTAATAAAACAAAATATGATTATAGTAAACAAAGTCTGGCGATGTAGAGTTATTGATCAATTGATACATACAATTTTTCATTACACTGTATATGATACAAATTTTAATACAAAAAAGAGAATTCACTCGACAAATTGTAAAAATATGGATTTTGTTTCTGCTCCAACAATTCCTTTGCTGAGAAAAAACTCTTCAAATTGTATTAATTCATCTGAAAGTTGTTTTATTTTAGTACATATGTAACAAGCACCAAAATATAAAAAACAACATCGTTCCTCCGGAGGGTGTTTCAATAACCAGTAATTATTTTAAAGTGCTGATAACTTACTTTACATTAAGAATTAAGTGCTTCAAAGTTAAATTTTTAAATATTATTTTCTATTTTAAAACCCTGGATACAACTACGAATAGCACCAACAGTACTTGCACCTCATGTAGTTTTGTGACCGAATAGTTATTGAGGCTGTGTGTGTGTGTGTGGGGGGGGGGGGGTTAAATTAGAAACAAACAAGTACAGCAATAGAGAGTTTGTCCTGTTAATTAAGAGTTCTTATTTGGTTAGTCTAAAGCTTTTTTTAGTTTTTATCAATACCTACAGGCCAACTTTCCTAAGAGTATTGGCATTACTTTTTTTTAATTGTAGATTTTTTTGCATCTTATTTCTAAATTTAGCGAGAAGATAAAAGAAATTTGCGATTTCTCTGTATTTGCATGCTCAGTAACTTGATCCTATCTGGACAGCTAAGTACATTTTTGGATAATATATTTATGTTTATGAGTCCAAGAATGTTAAAATTAGTGTGATATGATTAAACTATAAACCACCAATAAAAAATAAATTTAAATAAATAAACTACTTTGGAGCATTTATAATAAAAAACATTTAAACATACTCATATTCATTTATTTCCAAAATATATAGTCCAATGCTGAAAATAATTAAGCCTAATACCTCATTTATATATTATTAGGATCAACGATATTACTCATTTCTTTTACAATATAAATATCCTATTTGCATTGTTGAGAAAATAAATCTAATAACGAATTAAACGGCCAATTACTGCCACCAGGTAGCAGTTTCTTTCATATAAAAATCTGCATATTCTGGAAAAATAACACGAAAACAAATATTCCTTTTGTAGGGTTTATGAAGCTGAATCATATATTTTTTTTGTTGTTCTCAATTGGTAAAGATCATTTCTGAAACATAGGTACGAAATTCAGGTCACTTCTAACAGAAAATTTGTGTTACTGGATAAACCTTTTATATATATATATATATATATACCTATAATAAGGACTTGATAATATTGTTGAAGCAACATTTGTTCACTTGTCAGAGCAGAGCAGTTACAGAATTACTTTTTGGAAAAAAACTAATGATATGTATAATAAAAGCAAAAAAAAATACTTCCTCTTTGAAAGAAATTTAGTTTAGTTTTGAAATTACATTAAGTATGTTTCATCCAAAGATGCCAAAGTTAAATTTTAAGTATGTATCTAACTAGAAGACCATAAACAAGTACGCAGTAACTTGCAATAAATATCAAACTATAATTAATGAGCACAAATATTAGGAAGGTTGATAATCATTATCATAATGGTCATGGTAAGGATTAAACCCCATCCATTAATCATGTGTGACAATCATTATCAGATTAAACCTTAGTAAATGCACTTTTTTTTATAATATTTAATACAACACAGCTAACCATTCTTAAGTACCTTGCAAAGACCTTTACCTTTTACTCAATATAAAATATGACAACTGAATGACAGCTGATACTAAAAACAATATCACAGGCATATAATCTATGTGTGTAATTTATTTAAATAAGGTAAAGGATTATTTTGTTAATCTACCTTGTACAAGAACAACATCACATCTAAAAATATGAAACAAAATATTTATATACACTTACAGAATAGGGTTTTTATATAGTGTGCCCATACAAAAGTGCTTTTTCCCACATTTCAAAACATTAGTTCAAAAATATTTTTGTCCTATCAAACTGTAATGTTACACAGAAAACGTTTATGGATTTGATTATATTTAGCCCAGTAATCACAGTATTTCAAATATACATATATGATACACAATAATTAATATAGCTATATATACACCTGGAAAAAAGTTAAGCACCCCCG